GGCCGGCGCGCCCGCGGCGCCCGCGACGGTCCGCGCGAGCGCCGCGGCGACGGGCGCGTCGACGTGCGCGTAGAGGCGCAGGAGGCGCCGCGCGGCGCCGGCGTCGCAGGCGCCGAAGGCGCCGCGGACGCAGGACCCGCCGCAGGCCACGAGGCGCGCCCGCTCGAGGAGCGCGGCGCCCGTCTCGTACGCGCCCGCCGCGGCCGCCGCCGCGGCGACCGCGTCGCCGTCGAGCGCGGCCGCGAGGGCGTCGTCCGGCGACTCCGCCGTCGCCAGGCAGGTCGCCGCGGCGCGGTGGAGCGCGCGCGCGAGCTCCGGCGCCAGGGGCGCGCCGTCGCCGGGCCCCGCGAGCAGGCCCGCGAGCGCCGCCGCGAGCCGTTGCCGCCGGCGCGCCGCGGTCCGGCGCGCGTAGCACGCGCCCACGACCTGCGCGAGGAGCGCCGACGCCACGGCGCCGTCGCGGAGCGCGAGCTGGAGCAGGGGCCGGAAGACGTCCGCGCGCGAGATCGTGATGTTCGGCATCTCGTTTTTGTGGTACTCGCGGTAGAGCACGACCTTGCCCTCGCGCGGCGCCCGGTCCCGCCGCGCGGGCTCCGGCGCGAAGGACACCGTGCGCCGCGCGAGGCGCGCCTCCAGCGCCGCGGCGTCCTCCGGCGCGCCGGCGCCGGGCGGCGCGCGCCGCGGCGGCGCCGCGCCGCCGCCGAAGAGGAGCTGCGTGTCGAGCGCGACGCCGCGCCCGCGGTAGTTGTCGTCGCTCAGCGACGCCTGCGTCGCGTCGACGTCCGCCTGGCTGTCGGCCTGCGTCGCCCGCAGGGCGCGCCGCCGGACGCGGTCGTCGGCGAGGTCGCCGAAGAGCTGGCTCGCGCACTGCTGGCTCGCGTTCTGGCTCGCGGCGGACGCGCCTCGCTGGCTCGCGGACGCGGTCGCCTCCGCGGAGAGCGCGGGCCGGAGCGTCGCGTCGGCGGAGCCGATCCAGTCCATGTCGAGCTTCACGCCCTTCCACTCCATGTCGAGCTCGTCGCGCTGGAGGGGCGCGCGCCACGCCGCGCCGCGCGCGCCGGGCGCGAGCAGCAAAAACGCGGCCGACCGGTGCGGGAGCCCGTCGCCGGCCGCGAAGAGCTCCTCGAGGACGTCGTCGAGGCGCCGCTGGAGGCCGCCGCCGAGGCGCGCGCGCCAGTAGTCGTAGACCATGCGGCGCACGCCCCGCCGCTCGGGCGCGGCGACGGACGTCCGCTCCGTGAGGTCGACGACGACCGGCGGCGGCGGCGGGTCCGGGTCCTCGTCCATGAGCGCGAACCCGTCGCCGTCGAGCGCCGCGGCCTCCTCGGTCGACAGCGCCCGCGGCGCCACGGGCTCGTCGGCGCCGTCGGGCTTGTCGAGCATGCCCGACGCGTCGGGGTCCGCGAGGCCCCGGAGGAGCGCCTCGCGCGTCCGCGCCGCGGTCTCGCCGCCGCCGCGCGGCGCCGCGCGCGCGCCGCCCGGCTCCGCGGGGTAGCATTTGTCGTGGAGTTTCATGAGCACCTCGTAGCCCAGGGCCCGCACGCCCGCGTCGGGGCACGTGGCCAGCAGCGACGTCTCGAGCGCCGCGGGGCACCCGTGGACGACGATCCGTCGGACGCGCGCCGCGCCGCCGTCGTCGACGTCCGCGAGCGCGTCGGCGCGCCGCAGGAGCAGCTGGAGCGTCATGAGCTGGACGGCGGGCCCGACGCCCGCCATGCCGTCGAGCTCGGACCGGAGCCGCGTCGACTCGCCGAGGAGCTTCGGCAGGGAGAATTCGAGCGCCTTGAGGACGTCGCGGTCCGGCATCTCGGCCGCCGGCACGCGCGCGATCGCGAAGAGCAGCTCGCTGGCCTGGCGCGCGCTCCCCCGCGACTCGCGGATGATGTCCTTGAGGCACCGGAGCGCCTTGTTCGCCAGGGACCGCGTGAGCCAGGTGTCGTTCCGCTCGCAGCACCGCGCTACTAGAGCGGCGAACGGACCGTAGAGCGAGTTCGTCGACCCCTTGTTCCTCG